CCTTCTCGTTTGTAACCCCACTGCAAACTTCGAGCACCTGGGCTCAGAAATAAAGTCATCGACCGACTCAAACTGGACGTAGGGCACGTTGCCTGAACCAGTATAAATCATGTGTCATTGAGTACTAGGCCACCTCCGATCACAATGTACGGCAAAACTATAAATATTTACTTGTTGATCACTTTCTGCATCGACAACTTGTGTACACTCATCTTTATACAAACAACTCACATGAAATTCTCAAGCAAAAGCCACCTTAAACAGCATAATCTAGTGAACAGAGATTGTCAAATATCCGATCCCAGCGAAGTAAGCTTATTCCCACAAATCGGCAAACCATGCATATTTGAGTGTTAACAGTTAACACTCCACAGTGGACATAACAGCCCCGTTCGCTTGTCTGAAACTTGACTAAAACTGGCTGGTTTTGTGAGAGAGAAACACTATAGCGGTTGGTTGATGAACAGTGTTTTGTGAGGAGGAGGAGCCGGCTGGTTTGGAACAACCAGACCAGCGAACGCGCCCAACATGCCAATCCAATCAGAAAACACAGCACCGAAAGCACAAAGCTAAACACAAAACAGGAATGCACAAACATAAATCCCTCCATCGACAAGTTTGAATATGGAAAAAAAACTCTGTTCAGACCCAAAATCGAGAATTGTACAACATCCAGGACCGCTAATGGAAAGAGAACCTTGCAGAGCATGATATATCCTTCTAAGAAGCCGACTTGGATCGACTTCGATCGGAAAGTCTACACCGATTGCGTACACAACGCCACCAAGAGGAAGGGATTTCAAAAGTGAAAGAAGACAGCCGCAACACGAGTGGGAGAAGCATGGATCACTTAAGAGAGAGAGAGAGGTGTCTACAAAGGGAGAATTGGGTGTCTCTAGATCCCCATTGCAGCGCAGCAAAAGTCTGAGGCGAAGCGGGAGGAGGTCACGAGGGTTGCAATCAAGGAAAACCAAACCAAACGAAACGAGTAGCTCCTCTCTCTCGCCCCCATTGCTTCTATGGCCGTGGGGGGCCCGAGCGGCGAGACCACGATGAGGCGACGTGAGGATGCGGCGGTGGGGTGGGGAGGAGGTGACGGGAGCGGTCTAGGTTTTGGATAGGGTCTGCTGCTGCTAGAGCCTAGAGGAAGGGATGGGAAAAGACTCATTGCGTGGGCAAGGCCACCTTCCGCTTTCTTGGCGTGAGTAGTGGGCGGGACTCGCCGACGAGGGGAGGCGGGCGGTGCCCCGCCCCCCCCACCTGCCGCCTTACCATTGCGCGTGATCGCCTCGCGCCGCCCACGCCGCCGCTAGGGTTGATGGGCTTCGATTGGCCGTGGGCGGGGCCTACTGGCGCGCGCCGAGAGGCCGTTATCGGTTGTTGGGCGGGGTAGAGGGAAGAAAGAGGCCCCTTAGTCATGGGCACTTTGGAGCAAGAGGCCCATATGCGGCGCTTTTTCACCGTCCGATCAGGCCCATACCATACGATACCTTTCTTCTCCCACGACGGAGTTCTCGCTGTTGCAGTGCAGTGCAGTGAGACTGCACGCCGTGGTGGCGTCATCGGGGAGGGAGCAAAGCGGCGACCGCTTTGCGAAGCTTGCAGCGAGCGCAATGAATTCGGCCGATCTGGACGTGAGGCGGGCGCAACGGGCATTCAAGGGCCAGTTTGGATGCCAAAAATTTTGGCAAAACGCTACCGTAGCGTTTTCGTTGTTATTTGGCAATTAGTGTCCAATCATAGTCTAATTAGGCTTAAAAGATTCGTCTCGTGAATTTTATCTAAACTGTGTAATTAGTTTTATTTTTTATTTATATTTAATACTTCATACATGTGTCAAAGATTCGATATGACGGAGAATCTTAGAAAATTTAGTATTTTGGGGTGCAAGCCCAAGAGTTGCGAGGCCACTCCGCGCGGCACAATTATTCGGCGCTCAGCTTTTACAGGTAGGGCGCTGGGCACACCGCAGTCCGCAGAGCAGAGAGAGGATCGCTGGATGGGTAGCAGACATCACTGAGCCGGTGAGCCCCCAGCTCGCTGCCGTTGTTGCACAAGCCTAGCTAGCTGTTTCTACGAACATATCAGTATCGTCAATGCCAACCAGACATCAGAAAAGCAACGCATGCGACTGTTGCTATCGAGAAGAAAAATCAAGATGGTAAACGTTAATGTTGTTGTGAGATGCGTTTTTTCCAGTTACTGTGTAGACGTAGACACTTATTAAACCTATATGTTTGTACATCCATTTTTACTAAAATTAGACAAGGCAATGAAATAATCCAATAAAAAAACTAATAGAATTAGATCGAATTATAAGACGATGGAATGGCAAAACAAATAGCAGTATATGAATGCCCTCTATATTTATTATATACTGAAATTAAATTGAGCTTAGTGGAGATGGTGTGAACAGCTTGTATTAAGAAATAGAAAAATAGTGGGATGACATGGTTATTAGTGGGAGGTGACGTGGATAGATAGTGGAAAATGATGTGAATGTCTTGTATGTTGAGATAAAAACTGTAGTGAGATTTAGCTTTATAAGAGATATAGATATGAATTCACACTCAACTATACCAAGGCATGTAGCGCACATTTACCACTATATAAATTAAACACCTCTGAAAATCTAAGCTGACGGATCTTAAGATTAACTAAGTCACTGTAGACGTCTTATCGACAAATGGTGTTAAGTCCTACTGTAAATTATGGGTGTAATCTTCATGAATTGGCTTGGATGAGCGAGGTTGGGCGTGGGAATACCAAAATTAGTTAAAGATGATTTAGGTTCATGCTAATATTTTAGAAGAACCGTGTCCATTCTAAAAAAGGAAAATAAAGTACCTAACAGTACACCAATTTATAGACAGACAACCACTTCGTACATTCACTTTTAACGTTTGGATCATGTATTCTGCCTAGAAGGCTAGAACCTAGATGATCAGGAAGACATATATGTGACCTAAATCATATACTCATGTGCATAATGTTGTGGTTATGATGAGCTATGATGATAAATATAACTAATGATAAGAAAGCACATCATATTCATCAAGTGCTATTATGATAATAGTTCGCTACAGACCTAACAAAGCTTCCTTAAATGAGGGGTATTATCAACAGATGTATCACAAGTTGAGGTGGGAAGGTGTTTGTGTACCAAAGAAATATGGAGGTCCAGATATCTTTTTTTTTAAAAACGAGGAGGCCCAGTGGATGAAAAACCTTTGTGATCTTTCGCTTTCTTAGACTCCCTCTAAGTTGATTTTTGTTCGCTTCTGCTGTTGCTCGATGTGTATCATTATTGTAAGATTGTATTGGCTTTGTGATTTTTGTTTGCTTCTGCTATTGCAACTAGGCCTACTAATATGCCCTGGATTAATAAGAACAGGTGCGCTGGGGGTATAGTCTGCAGCAACTAGAGTCCATTAGTGATATATGTTTTCATGTTTGTTTAGAGAAACATTAGCGAGAGGTAAAGAAGAGCAACATTGAAAAACCAAGTGACTAACGATTGTATGTGAAGAGCTGTGATTACTGATTACTAACTTCAGTATTTAGTTGTCATGAGTCTGTAACTACATGTCTGTACATCGAACATATTTAAATTCTGCCTGTACTAAGAAGGTGTTTGGGACTGCTCCACAAACTCTACCGTGGAGCAGCTCCAAAAAAAAACTGGAGTTTGTAGAGCACCTGTTTAGGTGCTCTTACAACTCTACCATTTTTCATCAAACAGAGTACGTGTAGCTGAAACCGTTTGGCTAGAAAACGTGGAGCGGAGCAGTCACAGACACCCCCTAAACTGGTATTACCATGTACAGTGTAGTTCTGCTCATTACTGGAAGTGTTCATACATGTATCTACACCCTACAGAATCATGGCGCAGAATGTGAAAATGTTCCTCTATGGCTTTGCTTTGCTTGAGAATTCAGGCTGCCCCGTGTCAGGAAACTTAGGATTTATTTTATTATTTAGAGAAAGATGATGAAGTCCACAACATTCACAAATAAATTGTACCAACAAACATGACTGCGCAATGCAGTTTTCTTCCACAAGAGAATCCCACTTCATTTCATCCTTGACTCCTGTCAAGCAGCTGAAGAAATGCAATCAGGTTGCTTTATCCTCGGAGAAGAGAAGCAGAGAACCGAGGCAAGATGAGTTGATTGGTCAATAGCTTCACATATCAAACCTTCAGATGTGCACTTTGGTTTGATCCGTGATACCAATTTGTCGAACATAATAACCAGAAGAAGCGTCCTGTCAACACTGTATCGATCTCGATCCTGTATACACTGTTCACCGATGTTGGTTACTGTAGCATCAGATCGAAACAGATCCCTGGAAGATTGGGCTTTATCCAAATCCAAACAGCCCCTGGGTTCAAACAATAGGTTGGCTTCCATGGATCCTTTGCCTGGACATGTCGCCTTGAACTCAGGGCCGAAGGTTAACGCAGACTTGAGCGACCGTCGGATACAGAAGCCCACGCATGACGCCGGCGTCGGCGGCGTCTGGTGTGCACAGCACAGGCACTTTTTACAGCTGGGGCCTGGGGCACGACGCAGGAAAAGAAAGGAGTCACTGGATCAGCGACCAACCAGCAGAGATCACTGAGCCAGTGACCCCAGCTCACTGCACCACGCGGCAGGACAGCACACCAAACACCAATGGCTCCTCTATCTCCATAGACTCAAAAAAGGCACATCAACCAAACCAATATACATACATGCGAGGAAGAAGGGAATTTGGGAGGTGAGGGGGTGAACTGAAGGCAATACAAATACAAGGCGCGAGCACCCCCTCAAGCAGTTAGCAGTGTCTCTCACTCACAGTCACGGATACAGACACCTGAAACTGGCTACATCTGATCTTGCCACGGCAGCTACTGCTCTGGTCCTCTTCTTCCCCCCCACAAACAAAATGAGAAAAACTCAAGCTCGGAATGTACTGCTGCCGCTGCCGACGCAAATGGTGGTGGTGTCTGCAAACGACTACGCCTCCGCTTTGCTGTTGATCGCCAGCGTGAAGTAGATCAGTATCGTCGTCCCCACACTCGACCTGCTTATGGCAGGAGAAACAATGTCGCTCAGGCGTTAGAGAAAGCAGCCAGGGAGAACCGCTGACAGGGAGAGTAGCGTGATGTCGCCAAGAAGGCGCTGCTTACAGCATTGCTAAGAAGAGAAGAAGTATCCACTTACAGCGTCGCGAATAAGAGGAGGATTTTCCGAGGGTTGATGGATGTGAATCGACTGAATCTTTTGCTCCTTCCTTCCCCAGAATCAATAAGAACAGGTGTGCAGGGAGTACAATGTGGAGCAACCAGAGCCTTGTTCTGGCCCAGGGGCTGCTCCAGTTGAGATGGCACAACTGCAGAGAATCACATTCAACGAAATCATAAATACCGGTAGTTATGGCTGTTAAGTACTGTCTGCTGTACAGTAGAAAAGAAAGAGAACAAATCTGCACCCATAAGATAGAAGCACAATTTATTTTAGCCTATGAGGACCAAGACAGCATTATGCTAGCTTAACGTAAAGCTGTACAAAGAATTTATTAGTTATCAATTCAAAGGACAGAGGAAATAAATATAGTCCAACAATATAGCAATCTTATAGACAAAAATAGAGTCAATCTTATATAGGAAAGGATTTGCTGCCAATAAGGCAATCAGGATGATGCTAAGTACAGTAACAAATTGCCCAACATAAGTGGGTACATAACAAAGATTTTTTTATTTTTGATCCAAACAGACACGGGGTAGTGGATCTAAAGGCACACATGATTAGCCGATGCATGATTAAATGGAATGAGCCATTTCCGTAAGTATCAAGAAAGCCCAAACAGTAAGTAAGAGATAATAACATCCTGTTACCTTTGATGATAAGTTTTTTCGCCAAATCCTCTTGCTCCTGCTCATCACCGCCCCTCCTTTCCATCCGATTTGAACCCTTACGTGACAAGGCCCTCTGCAAGTGAAGAGGATGTGGGCTTAAGAAACTCAGAAAACTATTGGCTGTTCAAATTTTCGAGTAAAAGGACATACAATAATTTTTGGACTTCCAGAGCAGCATTTATCAGGTGGTTGAGGCAGACCCTCAATATCCAATACCACATTGGCAGTTTTGTCCATGCTTGTGATTGGGCCCTGCGACAAAAATCTGATCAATTCATGAGAAGTACCAAATACCTATCAGCGTGTGCGGTTGTGTCATCTAATGGTGCAATAAACAGAAGATCACACTAATGTGCCTGACCCACTGCTATCAGGACAGTTATTCCCAATAACAAGTGTTCATTGGAAAGCACGACTGCGCAGCAGCATCAATTTAATCAAGGTACCAGATCAGTGGTGCAATGGGCAACATGATTTCTCATAGCGATTTCATCTATTAGGTAGACAATAAAACAAATTAGTTAGCGTTTATTTGGGCCTCCTTTTTTAGAAAAGTGGCGCCGGTACCAAAATGCTCGTCCAACCGATAAGTATAACAGAGATTCTACAATGTAGGCCACATCCTTCATAATAAGTTTACCAAACAGAGAATAATGAAGCAAGCAATGCCCACTACAACCGAAAAAAGAAGCAAGAAATCAATGGATGGACCTGGCGTGGTCATATCCTTCACAACATGCAGCAGCTACGTGCTAGGATAGGAACAAAATCTGCAGCTTTGCAACGGTTTAATTATTATATTATGATCCCATTTACGCAATGTAACGGGCAAAATATGACAAGTGGATGGCAGAATAATAAAAAAAAGGGATAACACATGCTCTCGAGGCTCAAGTTAAACTGGACACATCACACATGGTCTCAAGCTAAACTGCAGGGCTAAAACAAAAGCTGCACAGGTTTGTTCTTTTGCTTTTGGTATAGTCGTTTCTTGGGCCGTTGCAACCAACCAGCGAAGAATTTAAAAAAGCGGAGACAAGAAATGGGTCAGATCTTAAAGGTACCTGTCCACTCCCTTTTCTCCCACCGGTTCCCTCGAGGCGGATATGAACCGTGAGCTTCCTCCACTTCCCAGCAGACAGCAAGCAGTCTTGTTATCTTCCCCAAAGCTGAAGAAGTGGGAACAGAAGTTAACCAACGGACCTTTTAATTAAAAGGAGAGAAATACGAAAAAGAATGGAGAACAAAGTGAAATGGTTGTGGTTTAGTATTGAAGGAAAACAAAGCGATAAACTGGATGGACTGAAGAATCCATCATCCATTGCAGAAAACAAGGATTTCCGCTTGAGGGCAGAGCAGGATTGCGCAGAGCAGAATGAACAATCTATCGGAGCAGGTAGTGGCTTCCTTACCGGTGTGGGAGTAGGCCGATCCAGGTCCGGCTGGATCTCCGCCGCACCGTGGATTCAGCGGCGGCGAGAGGAGGAGAGGTGGGGCGGCGGCGGCGGAATGGTATCAGGCGGATGGAGTGCGGAGGGAGAGCGTACACGAGATGGGGAAGCAATGAGTGCTCCTTCTAGATCCCGCCGTCCCAATGCCGCAGCTTTATCGACGGACTGGTGGAGGCGCGGGCAGGAGCAACGGACGGGAGGAGGGAGGGAGTTGGGAGGTGGTGGAAGGGAGAAGAGTGGTAACCGCGGAAGGAGGAAGGGAGCAGCAGGAGGCTGTTTGGTTTGGTTTTGGCTCACGAGGCGCTGCCGGCCCCACGCCCGCGCCGCGAAGACCAGGTCCATGGACCGGAGCCCTGTGGGGAGGAGGCAGAGCGCCAGAGCCAGACATAGGGACTTGGTCAGGCGATGGGCACGGTGCAGCCAGGTCATGGCGCGGCCTGCAGGTGGGGGCCAGCAGCTCAGCACGGGCGCGGCAACCGAGGCGGTGTCACTGAGCGAGCAGGAGCGGATAGCGAGGGCGCGTGGCGGTGTTGGGCTCTTGGCTGGCCTGGCCGTGTGCGTGACTGCGTGGGGAGGAAATTCAGCTTTGTTAGTGATGATGGGATGCTCCCATTGAGATCATTGTGGGCTAAATTCAGAACTTCCAAGCTAGACATGCCTGATAACTCATAAGGAATTGGCCCTGAGAAGTTGTTCCAGCTCAAGTCCAGCACATGAAGGTTCACGAGATGACCAAAACCGGACAAGATCGGCCCAACAAGCAGATTGTTCGAGAGTATAAGTGACGGTGGGAAGCTGCTGACTTGGTTGTACTGCAAACCTTTGCCAGTTGAATTCCTCTTGATGAAAAATGGGAGGTCCTCTGTTGGTGACGGCTCACTCAAGCCATTAGTTGAAATCAAACTCCTCATCTGTTTGAAGCTAATAGGAAGCTCACCACAGAATTGTTTGACAGGTCGATGTAGAAGAGGTTGTCCAGCTTCCCTAGCCATGGCGGGATATTCCCATTTAACTTGTTCCAAGAAATGTCGAGCACATTGAGGCTTCCCAAGCTCTGTAGCCAAGGTGGAATTACGCCCGTGAGCACCTGCATGCCCTTGAACCCACTGATGCCATCCACAGGAATTGTCTCACCACCGCGGAAATTCCTGGTGAGCACCAAACTAGTCAGGTTGGGCAGGTGTTGCAAAACTCGCAATGCTGAAGATAGGTTCGTGAAGCCATTTCCTACGAGTCCTAGGTACGACAGGGATCTCAAATCCTTAAAGCTCTCTGGTATCTCCCCCACAAGCTTGTTCCTTCCAAGTTTCAGAGTCCTCAACTCACTGCACAATCCGATGCCAGGAGGTATAGCACCAATCAGACCGTTGGTTGCAATGTCAAGAGTGTTCAGCCTCGACGGCAAGGGGAAGTCAATAGCAATCTCACCAGACAGCGAATTGTTCCTTAGCCTGATTACCCTCAGCATTGGACACCACGACAAGGAAGCTGGTAATTCACCATCGAACATATTGGAGGCCAAGTTTATATCCTCCAGCCTCCTCATGCCTCCAAACACATCAGGGATGGAGCCAGTGAACCTGTTATAGGACAAGTCAAGCGGCACAAGCTGAGAGAGGTTACCAAGGGCATTGTCGAGACTGCCAGTGAGCTGGTTTTCCTGTAAGCGAAGCCTCATCAACTTGGGCAACGTGCACAGGTTGCTGGAGAGGTCGCTAGTCAAGTCGTTTCGGTCGAGAGAGAGCTCCACGGGCGCCTTGCATCGGCTCAGGCCGCTGGGCACCTCACCGGAGAACCCATTCCCTGAGAACCGCAGAACCTGTACCGGCGCATGACAGAGCGCGGATGAGTTGATGCCGCCGGAGAAGGTGTTGCCGGAGATGTCAAGAACCGTTAGCTTCGCCGCGGCGGGGAACGAAGGGTGCGGCCCGTCGAATCTGTTGAAGGAGATGTTGACCAGCTCGATAGCAGGAAAGCCATCCTCGCTGGCTGGGAATCCGCCGGAGAACAGGTTCACGCTGAGGTCAAGCACACGCAAGCCCGGGAGCCGGCCGAGCTCCACGGGCGCCTGGCCGCAAAGAGAGTTCCGGGAGAGGTTTATCGCCACGAGGCTGTCGAGGGAGGCGATGGAGGAGGAGATGCCGCCACTTAGGCTCTTGTTGGAGATATACAAGCCGACCGCCCTCCCAAGATCGCATGAGACGCCGGTCCAGGAACAGCAGGAGGTGTCGTTGGGACTTTCCCATCCGACAAGCCCGGCGTCGTCCGTGCCCAGGCCCTTGGAGAAGGCCAGAAGCGCCTCCAGGTCGGCAGGGTGACAATGACTAGTCTGGTTCAGGTACTGCCCGACAACAGCGCCATGGAAGTGGACAAGTACGGCGGCGACCAGGAAGTGGACGAAACAGCAGTTGCCTCCCATATCTCCGGTGAGAGGCGGCCGCCGAATCAGCTTAGTACCGTACCAAAGATTTCTGCTGATTGGTCGTGGTGGGATTGGGAAGGAGGCCCTGTGGAACGAGGGAGCAATCAGGCACCAGCCATGGTGGTTGACTTGGGAGGCAGGGAGCATCTAGGGTCAATGCCCCCACCAACGTCAGTGCAGTTCCCTTTCACTGCTACTGAATAATGACTAGCACAGTACACGCGCTTCGCTGCGTGCGCCTATTGTGCGTGTTTATTTTTTAGAAGGAAAGAATTTCCATGAAAAGAAACAAAGCAAAACAAAAAAACTTCCCATGAAAAAAGCGAAAAAAGGAAGAAAAAAAAGAGAGAAATGAACAGCACCGCACAGTGGCCGACGCCCCAGAGGCCAGGAATTCCTGCGCGTTTAAAGAGAGTATAAGTAGTTATTTGTTCTCCACAGAAAAGTTGGAGAAATTGAACACTCGATCTGATGGAAGACCTACCTAAAGCAAGTCAACATATTGCCATTAGATCAAGGAACTCCAGTACCGAAGATAGATGGGAACTTTGAAAGTGACTGAACCAGTGAACCTTGAAGTAAAGTGAGTTAAAGATGCTGGTCAAGTTTGTGTGACTTTTTTTAGCACAAGTATTTTGACCCAAGTCCGGAGAGAGCACAAAGTTTGCACTGCAAACTAAACAGCAGCCAGAAGGATCAGTTCCTGCCATCGTTCTTCCGGCTGCTTTTATATTATAGTCCAAAAATAAGCCTGACAAAACACAAATAATAGCATTCTGCTGATGAAGATTGAAGGCAGAAGACTACGCCCAGGAGCACCAACTTCATGATGCATGAAGGATTGAAGGAATATAACTTCGGGCGTATAATCGTTGCCCTTTGGTCTCACACGTGTGGTTCCTCAAATAGGTTCCAGTGCTAGGGCACTGATTTGGCTGTTTAATGTCCCAGTGATCACACTAAAGCTGAGCTCAAGCACAATACTTCTTTGTTACTGTAGTTAACATCGACCACAGCTGGCCTGCCCTGTCTGTAGTTGATTAAGCCTAGGTCATGGGTACTGCTCGGCATGTCGATGAGGCACTGTTGTCCCGCCCAGGACAGCAATGTAACTTTCAGAATAACCTCTTTTCCCCTGAGAGAACAGAACACCGTGGCAGTAGTTGGAATACCAACCTATAAACCTAACATCCATTATATATTGTATAATCATATGTTCAAAAAATTATAATGACACTACAAAACTGTGAGAGTTTATTAACACGAATCTGCACTGCTGCCATTTCTGTATAGATTTGTGTTAAGGACCTGAGCTATATTTGTCACAAATTTGCCACTCTACATTTTGGCTTGAATTTAGCTGCCTTTCTGTAATCTCGAAAAGACAAAAAAGGACAGACATAGTTTTAAAAAGAAAAAAGGATAGACATGTAAGTCCGCCCCAAGTTTAGCATTTCTGGGAAACATCTGACAAAGTACCCAATTTTGTTTGTCTCAGCTATCAAGGTACCATGACCGATATTACATTGGGAGTTTCAGACGTAGCTGTGTTTGACATCGTTAATTGATGAAGAGTAATTCTAATAACCAATGATTCAAAAAATCACGCCTACACAATCTTTTCAATTACCAAGCTAACCCACTTAAGTAGGAATCAAGCAATGCTGTATATCACAGTAAAAGACTATTTACACAAACGCGAACCTGGAAATAGCAGCTCAGACATTCTTCAAGGATGAACTTCATTCCTTCTTTTTATTCTGAGGTTGGTCACATTCTGTACTGTCCAGATACACGGCATATCAAAGAACCTATCGATCAGACTAAAATAAGCAGACCTCCAGGGCCTTGCAAAATACAGTACACTCCAGACCATCAGCAGCCCCCCAAAAAATCCTACTTCCACCATGATGTGTGTGATTTGTATTGAAGTATACATGTCGTGGTGTTGAGGTTCATCCTCTGATTGCAACGATTGATAACAGGAGTTCCATAGAGGGCAGAGCCCAGAATTGCCTGCAAAATCCTCATTTGAAAAAGTTGAGAACTGACCCCCTGTTGGGATGGCTCCAGACAAATTGTTGTACGACACGTCAAACTTGGATAGGAAATTCAGCTTTGTTAGTGATGATGGAATGCTCCCATTGAGATTATTGTGGGCTAAATTCAGAACTTCCAAGCTAGACATGCCTGACAACTCATAAGGAATTGGCCCTGAGATGTTGTTCCAGCTCAAGTCCAGCACATGAAGCTTCACTAGATGACCAAAACCTGACAAAATTGGCCCAGCAAGCAGGTTGCTCGAGAGTATAAGTGACGGTGGGAAGCTGCTGATTTGGTTGTACTGCAAACCTGCACCAGTTGAATTCTTCTTGATGAACAATGGGAGGTCCTCTGTTGGTGACTTCTCACTCAAGCCATTAGTTGAAATCAAACTCCTCATCTGAGTGAAGCTCATAGGAAGCTCCCCACAGAAAGAATTGTTTGACAGGTCGATGTAGAAGAGATTGTTCAATTTCCCTAGCCATGGTGGGATATTCCCATTTAACTTGTTCCAAGAAATGTCCAGCAAATTGAGATTTTCCAAGCACTGCAGCCAAGGCGGAATTGTGCCTGTGAGTAAGCAGTTTGCAAGGACAAACACCTGCATGCTCTTGAACCTATTAATGCCATTCGCTGGCATTGTCTCACCACCACGGAAATTCCTGGTGAGCACCAAAGTTGTCAGGTTGGGCAGGTGTTGCAAGTTTTGCAATGCCGACGACAGGTTCCTGAAGCCATTTCCTCCGAGTGCTAGGTACGACAGGGATCTCAAATCCTTAAAAGTCTCTGGTATCTCCCCCACAAGGTCATTCCTTGCAAGGTTCAGAGCCCTCAACTCGGTGCACAATGCGATGCCAGGAGGTATGCCACCAGTCAGATTATTGCCACTGTGAGAAGGGAAATACTGGTATGAATGGATGGATTGTATTGCAATGGGACCTTGGCCGGTACATATATGCTAGGGGATCACTAACTCAGTCATAGGATTACAGGTAGGAGCCAATGGCTGAGAAGTAGCCTATCTATGGTGAGTACCAAATATAGTCTAACATCCCCTTTTGCCAATGTCGAGGTAGACCGAGCGCGAGGGGCGAATAGCCGTAGTCGAAGATGCCGTGCGTAGGATAGCCGTGGTCGACGTAGTAGTCGAGGATGCCGAAGTTGAGGTAGCCGCATAAGCCGCGGGCGCACGAGGGGGTGCCAAGATGGTGGTGCAAAAGAGAAGGCGCCGTAGATGAAGACGGTGACACGTCAAGGCAATCGTTGTGGGAGAAGGTCGATGCCGATGATGTAGTCAAGGCCGCCATGGCGAGGCGTGCCCCGGGTTTGCCAGGCCCGGTGAACGCATCGAGGACGAAGGCACGCACCGATGTTGCCAATACCGGACGTGCAAGGGAGAGTGCACAACTAGACACGCCATTGTCTGAGGGACTAGCAGAGGAGGCCTCCATGACAGTGGCAGGTACAGAAGAACGACGGGGTAGAGGGTGTCGATGCAGCCTGCTTGCCGGAGTAGACGAAGTAGATGGGGGAGAGACGGCGATGCTGGCGATGTGGTGTGCTTGACGAAGCGAGGAGGAAGAGGAGTGGATGATTCAGCACAGAGCCAAATGATCCGTATGTAGCGGCGGCGGTGCTCGAAGAAGACGGCGTAGAACTCAAACAGCTTGACGAAGACCATGCGCACAGGGCGCAATGACACGTAGTCGACGACGAAGTCGTGGACGTGGTCGGCGACGAGGAAGATGCAACGGCGATGAAGACTACGGGTGGCGGTGCTGCAGCTTGACAAGGCGAAGCAGCGGCAACCCATGTGCTCGGAGAAGAGGCGCGCAGTACGAGGACGGACGTCACGGTAGCCAGGTGGATCACGCACATCGGCTGATTAGACCGGGTATGCGTGAGGTTAGACGGCGGTGGGCGAAGTCGGCGGAGGCGTCCCGATCGGTGGAGGCGACGACGAGCCGGCGAAGGACGATGTGCGGACGAAGCGGCGAGGAGGGCGGTGCAGACAGGCATCCCCTAGAGCGCCGTCCATGTCGCCATGCCGCACAGTCGAAGACGAGGAAGGAGCCGGTCGAAGACAAGGAAGGAGCCGGTGAAGTCGACGCCGACGTCGAGGTAGAGGCGCAAGGTCGACAGGTGGTGGGCGACGCAAACCCGATCTCTTATCGGGAAAAATAGAAAAGATACTACAGCAACATCTCGTGTAGGATACCTGGGTGCGCATAGCGAGGATCCCCTCATCATCCTCTTAGCCGAAGCACTTGCATGCCTACATGCTAGGGGATCACTAACTCAGTCATAGGATTACAGGTAGGAGCCAATGGCTGAGAACTAGCCTATCTATGGTGAGTACCAAATATAGTCTAACAGCCACCAATATCAAAAGTGATCAGCCTTGGCAGGAATTTGAAGTTAATAGTGATCGTACCAGCAAGTTGTTCCTTAGGTTGATTACTCTCAGTATTGGACATCTCGACAGGGAAGGAGGCAATTCATCATTGAACCTATTGAAGGCCAAGTTTATGGATTCCAGCATCCTCATACCTCCAAACACATCGGGAATGGAACCAGAGAACCTGTTAGTGGACAAGTCAAGCAGCACAAGCTGAGAGAGTTTACCAAGGGCGTAGCCAAGGTTGCCGGTGAATTGATTTTCATGTAAGCTAAGCCTCCTCAACTTGGACAACGTGTACAGGTCATTGGGCAGATTCCCGGTTAAGTTGTTTCTGTCGAGGGAGACCTCCACGAGAGCCTTGCATCGGCTCAGGCCGCAGAGAACCTCACCGGAGAATCCATTCCCTGAGAACCGCAGAACCTCCACCGGCGCAGGACAAAGAGCAGATGAGTTGATGCTGCCAGAGAAGGTGTTGCTAGAAATATCAAGAACCGTTAGGTTCACGGTGGTGGGGAACACAGGGTGCGGTCCGTCAAAGCTGTTGAAGGAGATATTGACCACCTCGATAGCAGGAAAGCCATCTTCGCTAGCAGGAAACCAGCCAGAGAACAAGTTCATGCTGAGGTCAAGCACATGCAACTCCGTGAGTTGGCCGAGCTCCATGGGCACCTGGCCGCGAAGAGAATTCCGGGACAGGTTTATCCCCACCAGGCTGTTGAGGGGGGCGATCGAGGAGGAGATGCAGCCATTTAGGCTCTTGTTGGAGAGATCCAACCTGACCACCCTCCCAAGATTGCATGAGACGCCGGTCCAGGAACAGCAGAAGGTGTTGTTGGGACCCCATCCGACAAGCCCGTCGCTGTTCTTGTTCAAGCCCTTGGAAAAAGCCAGAAGCGCCTCCAGGTCGGCGGGGTCACAAGTCTGGTTCAGGGGCTGGTCACTGGCGCCATGAACGTGGAGAAGAACAGAGGCGACCAAGACATGAACGAAACAGTAGTTGCCTCCCATCTCCGGTGAGAGGTGGCTGCAGAATCAGCTTAGTGCTATAGCAAAGTGTTAATGTGTAATGTTGAATTGCTCATGTTGCGATGAGGAGTTGGGATCAGAAAGCAGCACTTTGGAATGAAGGAGCTATCAACCATAGTCCATGGTTGACCAGTGAGGCAGTGAGCAGGAAGGAACCAGAAAAGTTAAGCAAGGAGACACTGAAGTGACTGAACACTAAAGCTGATGGAAGGCCTGTATAAAGCAAACAGAATTGGCCAATTCAACGAATTGAAATAAGGAATTTCAAGTCTTAAAGATGGATGGGCGAAAGGGACTGAACCTTGAAGTGAAGTGAGTTGTTAAAGATCTCAAGGTGCTGAAGCTGATCAAGTATTTGTGACCAGAGGGAGTACAAATTTTGTACTGCAAACTAAACCACAACCAGAAGGATCAGGTCCTACCATCCTTCTTCCAATTCTTGTAGGATCCCTCAAGAAGCCTGACAAATAATAGCATGAAGATTGAAGGCAGAAGCCTATGCCCAGGAACACCAACTTCATGACGCATGAAGGAATAACTAAGTGCAGTGTAATTGTTGGTCTCACATGTGTAATTCCTCAAATAGTTCCCAGTGGCGCAGGAGAAAGAAGCAACAGTAACCAACTATATAAACCCTTTCCATCTTGGCTGATATCCATGTCCACAAAACCTGATAAATGGAAAACAAACTGAGTTAGAAGCAATGTGAAGAAGGCGACATTAATGGAAAAAATGGGGAAAGCAGAAACTAGCTCCTTTTGGAACTAAGATCATCACTTCAAACTGGATAATTCAGGGAAATTAGATCTTCTATTGGCGCATTTGCAACTTTTGAATAAAACAAGTCAGAAAAAAATTATATACGTATCGAAAATGGGAAGGCTGATATGAGTGAAGGTCCCCAAAATAAACCTAACTTAAATTGGTGTCTCCTCAAACTAGTAATAATTTATTAGAAACAATAAGATCCCTTGGTCTAAAATGAATAGAAGCAATTATAATTAATATGGTAAGATGATTACTTGGTCCGAAATGAGCAGGAGAAAATTGTAGTATCAAAAGAGCAGTTAGATGGATCAACACAGGGTTACTCCAGATTATAGGAGTTTATATTACATTAAATCTTCATGGTGACAAGGCTGTCTCAGCATGATTTAATAAACAAAAAGTATAAATATTACATGAACAAAGAACGGTTCAGATTTCAGATACCTTACATGACGGGAAAATAGTAAGGTTTAGCATAGGACACAAGCTGCTTTGGAGCCTTATGTAGCCAGAAGATTCTTATTTAAGACCGAACCTTTGCAAAATAAATTCGGATGTCTTCCCTTGTAATTTTTCCCCAAAGAACCCTCAAAAGGGCAAAGAGTTCCTACAATTCATTATACAAGTAGATGACCCAGTTTATTATGGTGACCGGGCCCAAAAACCTTATATTGTGTGGTTAATTAATGGAAACTGTGCTGTAATCTCCCGTGTGTATTTAGTTAATATCTTCAACAGAGGACAAGTTTTATAGCCAGAAATTCTGCTGTTCACGATAGAGAAGCTGAAACAGAAGCAAATAAGCACATTGCTGCAGTAGACACATAGAACTTAGGCTCAAACTTGCTTGTTTGTAAGCATACCTCAGAAACTATTGGATGCTCGATATATAGCTTCTCATATCATTTGTTAATTGTTATGCTGAAAAATCTTATTATGCACATCAGCTTTCTTGGTGCCATGAAGGAAAGCATGCCAACTCCTATGCAACAGAAATAAGTTCATGGCAGCAACAACAACAACAACAACAAAGCCTTTAAGTCCCAAACAAGTTGGGGTAGGCTAAAATAAGTTCATGGCAACTTAGCCATTTTTTTTTAAACAAGGTCGGCTCCATTGCCATTAACAACAAAGGCAACCTAGCCATTTAACACTACTTCATTTTCACAACTATCCAACAGTCCCATGTTTCCCATTATTCTATGTAACTCATCACGACAATCATCTATGTGAGTGTGGCATTCATCGTCTGCAGAAAACACATGTACCATTTTCTTAATCTCGATCCAGCTAAGCCCGGGCTCCTTTTCAATCATCAGCCCTCTGATCCTTCTCCTAATTTCAGACACACTATCCCATTTTCCTATAGATGCATAAAGGTTTGAGAGAAGTATATGTGTTGAGAGATCATCTGGATCCTGCTCCAGTGCCTGTTCAGCAGCATGAACACCAATTGACAGATCTTTAAATGTCACGCAAGAGCTTAGCAGAATTCTCCATAGCTCAGGATATCTCTTGGCAGAAGGAGATTTATTAATTAAATCAACTGCTTCCTCCAATAAACCTGCCCTACTCAACAAACTCACCATGCTAGTGTAGTGTTTGAACCCTGGTACAATGCCATCATTTATCATACAGAACCAATAAAGCTTTCCTTTCTCAACCAGTCCACAATGGCTACAAGCAGAAAGGAGGGAGATATAAGTTACATGGTCAGGTTGCAGACCACTACGAATCATGTCACCAAATAGTTTGAACGCCATTTCAGAATCCCCATGATTGCCATATCCTCCTATCATAGAATTCCAGCACTTCAAATCTGGCTTCTGTATGGTGCAGAAAACTGAATAGACACCTCGAAGAGTACCATTTTTCGCATACATGTCAACAAGGCTACCAGAGACACAAATATTTCCTTCATAACCACTTTTTACCACTTGAGCATGGAGCATTTCCCCTTGCTTAAGGCCTGCAAGATCTGCCGTGGAATTCAAAGCACTGCTAAGAGAGAAGTTATCAACCTTGTGCCCTACCTGCAGCATGCCAATAAAATATTTCAATGACAGTTCTCCTTCACCTAGTGCAGAATGGCCAGCAACCATCTCAGTCCACATGATAACATCTTTCACCATAACGGAATCAAACAAAATCTGAGCAGAGCCTGGATCCTCATTTGTGAAATACATATTGAGCAGTGTATTCGCAACAAAGACACTGCCCTCCAACCCAACTTTGATCACACCAGCATGAAGTGGTTTGCCACTACACATTGCTGGTAAAGGAGCAGCTGCAGCCACCACAGCTGCAAATGTATACTCATCTGGAGCCAGCCATTCAGAGGACACAGCCTTCAGCTGCACAAAGGCCTGCATTGCGCTCCATCCATCCCCAACACCAGAAAATCCAGCAATTATGGTATTCCATGACACCAAGTCTGGTGTCTCGATCCTCTGAAACACACACACTGCAGTGCCCAGATCACAACAGCAGCAGTACATATCAAGCAGCGCATTCTGCAGCGGCAAATCAGGATCAAGCTCCTCTGATTTCACCACCCATCCATGTAGCGCGCGCCCATGGTGCAAGTCCCCAGAACGCCCGCACCCACTCAGCACCGAAGAAAGGGTGCTCTCTGTAGGCGCCAGCCCAGTGCTCACCATCCGGCAGAACTTCCCCAGGGCGCGGTCAAGGTAACCATACCGTACATTGCAGTGCATCACACAGTTCCACGCCACCACATCCGGCGTCATCATTTCGTCGAACACCTGGTTAGCGTCCCTCGGCGACCCGCACCCGGAATACATCTGGAGCAGCGCGGTCGGCACAACGTCGCTGGCGAGGAAGCCGAGGGCCGCAGCCTGCGCGTGCGCGGCGGCACCCGCGTGGCCATCGCGCAGCGCGCCGGCGGCGCGGAGGACGGCGCAGAGGCTTGGGGCGGTGGGGCGGAGACCCGACGCGTGCAGGCCGCGGAAGAGCCCGAAGGCGTCCGGCGCGTGCCTCGGGGTGCGCGAGAGCGCGGAGAGGACGGTGTTGTAGGAGACCACGGAGGCGCACGGCGTGGAGCGGAGGAGGGCGAGGGCGTCGGGGACCGCGGAGAGGCGGCAGTAGAGGGCGAGCAGCTGGTTAGCGAGGAAGGTGGGCGGGCGGGGCGCGGACGGCAGGGACGAGACCACGAGGAGCGCGTGCAGCGCGCGCGCGCGGCGTAGGACGGCGCGCGGCGGGGAGCGGGTGCCGAACAGCGCCTCGGCCGCCGCGGCGAGCGCCGGCTCAAGGCTCTGGAAGCCGAGGCGCAACGACATGGAGAGCGGCGCGCGCGCTGGCTGGCGCAGTGCACCAGGCGGGCGGGCTCCACCCCGTAACCGTTGTCAATCAAAACTCAAAAGACGCGACGCCACTGTGATCCACTAGTCAACATGCGCTAGGCACGCTAGGCACGGTGGCAGTGTGGCACCGTAACATGCGCTAGGCACGGTGAGAGTGCCCCACGTTCTACACCTCGCAGCAATGTCGTGTCCTCGCCAATGGCGCCGCGCGGCAGTGTCAGCTTCCACCCAGGGGGCTGCTTCCACCGCTCCACCACCTGTCGGCTGTCGCGCCGCCTCGCTACATTTGAACATGAGCACCACCTGTCGCAGACTCGCAGCGCACGCTCCCCGAGCCCCGACGTCTCCGAATCTCTCGGCCGCCACCACACGCAGGTGGGCCGTGGGGTATCCTCGCCAACGCAACCTTATTCCACCTCTTCCTGGTCGGCACTTGAGATGCCTTACCGTAATGCTGCGCCCGACAGGTCGGCATTTGCTGCTTTGCTGAAGGCGTGCGGTGGTTTGGAGGACTTGGCAGTAAAGACGGGCATGGCATTTTGGAAGCAGATGCAGTCATAGGAAGACTCTGCCAAGCATTTGCAAGATCCATCAAGATGCTGAAGTGGCAGAAATTACTGCTGCAATATTCTACGCCTAGATCCAGATGATTCATCAGTTTAAATTCTTCTCTCAAATATATATGCTGCCATGTTGAATCAGGGAAATAACTCCGCCTATGGTGGGGCGCCTTTAGTGTCCCAGCATAGCAGGTCCTAAACCCTGGTAAAGGAGGAGGGTTGTGTTAGGCGTGGCGAGTCAATGTAAAAACTTAGCCACTTTAATGGAGATGAAATCCGAAAGAAAATCGTTGGGGCGTAACCCTCTTAGCGACGCGTCATATCGGAACCCGGGTATGGTGTTAAATGGGCAAGGGCCAGGTCGTCACCCCCGTGACGCGCCGTGTCGTGATCTGGGCATGGTGTCAAGTGAGCAAGGATCGGGTCGTCGATTTCTTAGTGGCGCGCTACATCGGCGTCCGGGTGTAGTGAAAAATGAGCAAGGGTCTTCGCATCTGAGTCGACGGATGCGAAGGGTAAGGAAGCTAGTCGAACCAACTAGGATACATTTAGTTAATTGGAATATAGGGTCACTTACAGGTAAGTTAAGAGAATTAGTTGATAGCGCGACTAGGAGGCGTGTAAATATATTATGCGTTCAAGAGACTAAATGGAAGGGTCAGAAGGCGAAGGAGGTGGACAATACAGGTTTCAAGCTTTGGTACACAGGGACAGTCGCGAATAGAAATGGAGTAGGAGTTTTGATTGATAAGAGCCTCAAGAATGGTATGGTGGGAGTGAGAAGGCAAGGAGATAGGATTATCTTAGTCAAGCTTGTCGTTGGTGATATGGTCTTGAACGTAATTAGTGCGTATACCCTCCCAAGTATGCCTCAACGAGAGTGCTAAGAGACAGTTCTGGGAAGACTTAGATGGCCTAGTTAGAGCTATACCTAGTAGTGAGAAGCTTTTTATAGGAGAAGATCTTAATGGACATGTAGGTACTACAAGCGCAGGTTTCGAGGCAGTTCATGGAGATTTTGGGTATGAAAGTAGGAATCAGGAAGGGGAGAAAGTTCTGGACTTCGCGGTAGCTTTTGACCTGATGATAGCCAACACTTTCTTTAGAAAGAGAAAATCTCATCTAGTGACCTTCAGTAGCGGACAACATTGTAGCCAGATTGACTTTGTCCTCGCAAGAAGAAAGGACAAACGAGCATGCTTGGATTGCAAGGTGATACCAGGGGAGTGTGTTGTTTCTCAACATAAGCTTTTGGTGGTAGATTTTTGTTTTCAGATGCGTGCCCGTAGGGATAAACAAGCTAAGATTGAAAGAACAAAGTGGTGGAAACTGAAAGGGGAGACGTTAGAGGTATTCAGGGAAAGGGTTATCAAAAATGGCTCTTGGAAGGAAGAAGACGACATAAACAATATGTGGAAGAAGATGACAACCAACATTCGGAAGGTGGCCTCAGAGGTGTGTGGAGTAACCAAAGGAAGTGGAGGCGAGGCTAAAGATACTTGGTGATGGAACGAGGAAGTCCAAAGGGCTATTAAGGAGAAGAAAGAATGCTATAGACGCTTGTACCATGATAGGAGTGTGGACAACATAGAGAAGTACAAGGTGGTAAAGAAGACTGCAAAGCGAGTTGTAAGTGTGGCAAAGGATAGAGCGTACGAGGATCTTTACCAACATTTGAGTACGAAGGAAGGAGAGAAAGACATTTATAGGATGGCTAGGGTTCATGAGAGAAAGACACGGGACTTCAACCAAGTTAAGTGCATTAAGGATGAAAGGGAACATCTCTTGATGAAAGAGGATGAGATCCGACATCGATGGCAAGAGTATTTTGATAAATTGTTCAATGGTGAGAATATGGACACAACCTTTCAGTTGGATGGCTCTTTTGATGACACCAATAGGCGCTTTGTGCGAAGAATCCAAGAATCTGAGGTCAGAGAGACGTTGAAAATGATAAAAGGAGGTAAGGTGATGGCACCGGATGGTATCCCAATCGAGGTGTGGAGATGCCTCGGGGACATAGCTATAGTATGGCTAACCAAGCTGTTCAACCATATTTTTCGATCGAACAAGATGCCTGATGAGTGGAGGAGAAGTATATTGGTACCAATCTACAAGAATAAAGGGGATATTCAAAGTTATACTAATTACCAGGAAATTAAGTTGATGAGACATACTATGAAGCTATGGGAGAGAGTTATCGAGCATCGCTGGAGAGCAATAACGTGGGTCTCTATGAACCAATTTGGTTTCATGCCCGAAAGGTCAACCATGGAAGCCATTTTCTTAATAAGACAAGTTATGGAGCGGTATAGGGAGAAGAAGGACCTACACATGGTTTTTATTGACTTGGAGAAGGCTTATAATAAAATACTAAGAAATGTTATATGGTGGACTTTGGACAAACATAAAGTCCCAACGAAGTACGTCGGGCTTATTAAGGACATGTACAACAATGTTGTGACTAGAGTTCGAACAAGTGATGGAGACACGGATGACTTCTCGATTAGGATAGGACTACATCAAGAATCAGCTTTGAGCCCTTATTTGTTTGCTTTAGTGATGGATGAGGTCACAAGGGACATACAAGGGGACATCCCTTGGTGTATGCTTTTCGCGGATGATGTAGTGCTAGTTGATGAAAGCCGGATAGGAGTGAATCAGAAACTGGAGTTATGACGGGAGACTTTGGAGTCCAAAGGTTTTAGAATCAGTAAAACTAAAACTGAGTATATGAGATATGACTTTGGCACTACTACTCGGGAGGAGAAAGATGTTAGTTTGGAAGGTCAAGTAGTGCCTAGGAAGGATACCTTTCGATATTTAGGATTAATGCTATAGAGGGACGGGGATATTGATGAAGATGTTAGCCATAAAATCAAAGCAGGGTGGATGAAGTGGCGGCAAGCGTCTGGTGTCCTATGTGACAAAAGGGTACCACAGAAGCTAAAATGTAAATTTTATAGGACGACGATTAGACCTGCTATGTTGTATGGTCCAGAATGTTGGCCTATGAAAAGACGACATGTTCAACAGCTAAGTGTCATGAAAATGTGTATGTTGCGTTGGATTTGCGGTCATACAAGAAGGGATCGAGTTCGGAACGATGATATACGTGATAGATTAGGAGTAGCGCCAATTGAAGAAAAGCTTATCCAACACCGGTTGAAATGGTTTGTGTGACAGAACCGCCTAATCTAATGCCTCACAGGAGTGCTTGTCTTCCATTAGACACTAAGCACTCAAGGGAGAACACTAAATTACTCGGTTCCGTCGGACACACCCCAGGGGAGAATCTGAAGATCCATATTTTTGCCATCAGGATCACAAATGAGAGAATAAAGCTTACATCATTTGTAACCATTTCTTACATTACTTTTAATACAACATCAGAGTATAATATTTATTATTATAACAGCAGAATGTAATCATATTATCAGAGTCATGAATAATTTAATGTAACAGCGGAATATAAATATGTGATCAGAATTACAGCGGAAATAAATATCTAATCATAACATGATGAAGTATTGTTATATAAACTATGACAACAGATTATGAAACTTTCCTTATAAAAGCATTTGGTGAGAGTTATAAATAACAACTACGATCGTAGCGTAAAGGAAATCCTCGCTGAGCCCACCAGGAGGAATCCACACACAAAGGTCAGCTTTAGCCTCCACCTGTCACCTGCAACAGGGGAAATAAAATCCTAAGTACTCAACTGTACTCAGCAAGACTTACCCGACAAGAGAAAAGAAAAGACTCCAAGGATATGCAAGGCTATCTGGCTTATGGGTTTATTGCATTTACAGGAAGCATTACTAAACGTGCATCCTAATATTCGATTTTTATTTATAGCCACATTTGTTCATTAACTAACCATTCTATGTAAGCACCTGTGCTACTTTCAAGCAGATGGTAAGCAATCAGATTTCTCTTTTCCATCTTCCATCTTTCAGTTCTTACTACGATGCTAAACCGTAGACAAGTCGTACCGGATTTCCCGGCGATTTACGAATCAATGCACCCAACTGGGTACCCCAAAAACACACGCCCCGCTTGTACCCCAGGCACAAGTAGGGCCAACCCATCACTCTCCTGTCTCGGGTGTCCAGGTCCCCGTCCAAACTGGGACTCCAAGCCTCCGCCCCTGAGTTCCGGACTCAGTGCGGTGCAAGGACCTCCTCTACCAAAATAAAACCCTGACAGTCGGTCCAGAAAGAGCCGGATCCGTGACAAGAGAGCAACAAGCCTTCCAAGCGCCCATACACAAGTATGTGCTCGGGATAATAAGTCTGTGACTTGCCTAGAATCTTATGCAACGGCCGGTCCTTAACTGACCAGACAGTGTAACCAAGCTATGCCCCGCGTCCACGGTGACACAACCTCTTACACCCACCAATACCCAAACCA